CTGTTCTTTCAGCTGAGGTGAAACCACCCTTTAAGAGGAAAATTTAAAAGAGCTCCAACATCCCCCCCATCATCCCCAGGGTGAGCTGAGAGGGCAAAAGGAGAGGCTGAAAAAATACAGATTTAGTGCACAGCTTCAAGGTCCCTGAAATGATGCAGCAAACAGGGATGAAGGAAACACCACAGCACCCTCCTGCTATCCCCAGCGCCAGGGGGCTGAGCTGGTCCTCTCCCCACATTCCCCACATGAGGAATTGCAATTCCTTACTGGGAACTGCACACCTTGCCAGGAGAAGGCTGTCCTGTAACCTGCTGTTCCCCAAGGAAGATGGTTTTCTGCAGCCCAAGAGCAATTCTCTTCTTCAATATCTATTGCCAGCCTGACTCCTGCAATGTGTGCCTGCTCCCATTGATTCCAGCCAACCCCAGTCCCTCCCACTGAACTGATCTCCCCATCCATAAGATCAGTGGTCATTTTGTGATCTGGCTTTCAGAGAGTCATGGGCTTATGCTCGTGCATTCAACCTCACTGTCCTTGGAGCTGCTGGAGAGAGAATCCCAGGGCAGGAACAAGGAAAGGCGACGTCCCCAAGCAAGACCACAGCAGTGACCAAGCCCTCAGCTCCTCCTTTTCCTGGCAGTGCTGGGGAACACCCCCCATTCCCTTCATGCTGTGCCCCACAAATCCCTCCTGATCCAAGGGTGGCACCTTCAGCAGCTCATGGCCCCCATGTGTGACAGTGTTCAGAGGGGTCCGAGGATGAGGGAAGAGATGAGGATCTGACTCCATGTTTCAGAAGGCTTGATTTATTATTTTATGATATATATTATATTAAAACTATACTAAAAGAATAGAAGAAAGGATTTCATCAGAAGGCTAGCTAAGAATAGAGAAAGAAGGAAAGAATAACAAAGGCTTGTGGCCCAGACAGACAGTCTGAGCAGCTGGGCTGTGATTGGCCATTAATTAGAAACAACAACATGAGACCAGTCACAGATCCACCTGTTGCATTCCACAGCAGCAGATAATCAATGTTTATATTTTGCTCTTGAGGCCTTTCAGCTTCTCAGGAGGAAAACTCCTAAGGAAAGGATTTTTCATAAAAGATGTCTGTGACAGCCATGAGCTGTTGGCATCCAGCCCCCAGGTGACCCCGTGAGTGCTGTGGGGTGCCTGTGGTGGGCTGAGCCATTCTGGGGGGGCTGCCTGCACAGAGAATGGAGGGGGCTTATCCTTGGGGGTTTCTCTGTGTTTTGCTGCCGCAATCCTTGCCAAGCACCCCAAGGACTTGTGCAGCAGCACTGAGGGGTACAGGGGTGCTCAGGTCAGGCCACCCCACCTGTCCAGCTCGCCCTTTGCAGCCCCCTTTGGGGCCAGCTGCGTGGGGAGGAGGGGGCTGCTGGGAACGGTGCCTTTCCCTCTCGTATGCACACAGTCACGATGGTTAGTTAAGTGCCTTGTTTTTCATTAGGAAAAGACTGTTGCTAGGCCACCCTGCTCCCCGGCGTCGGTCGGGAAGGGGTTTTGCAGCCAATCCGGGAGGCTGTGCCGGGGTTTGCACACGCACACATCACGCACACCCCTCCTGCAGCCCAGGTGCTAAGCGGCTGCCAGATGTGCCTGCTCATTTCCACATCACACCTATCCGCTTCTTCCGGCCGAGACGCTTATTAAGGCTCCTGAGATTTTAATTTAGAGTTGGCCGCCAGTTTTCTGCCTTCTAATTTACCCTCGGGGAGGAGAGGAGAGGAGAGGGGTGGGTGGGGGTGCAGGAGCATGGGTCCTCCCTCTGCTTTGGTCTCTGATAAAATACTCGAGTGAAGCCTCTGAAACAGGGTGGCTCGTCCCTCTGTGTTCCCACAGCAAGGGGACACTGCCTCAGCTTAGGGGCTTGCTCCGGGCTGTTATTAGGTACCAGCATTGCTCCACCCCAAGATATTCATGCTGCGATTTTTAGGGATGTCCTGTCCAACACTAGGTGTCGGTGAGCTCGTTCTAACTCGGTGATTCTGTGATTTGGGCTTTACAGGGCATTTCAGCTGTGTGTGCTGTGATGAGCAGAACCAGCAGCAAAGCAAGCCAGGTGATTGATTGATTGATTGATTGATTGATCAGGGGATGCTGCTCCCAGCCATGCTCCCCGTGCAAACAGTCCCTGGCAGCTGGGAGAGGAGCTGGACTGTGGTCAAACACTGGGGATGCAGGGCAGGAGGGTCAGACACATCCCTGCCACAGGGTTGTCTCCTGGAACAGCTGCTGCTCTGCCATGAGCAGTTCCAAGCATCCTATGGGCGTCCAACAGCCACCCAGTAGAATCCCTGGTGCCTGGACAAGGGAGGGAGCCAGCTGAGCCCAGGATGTGAGCAGGGTGGAGCCTTTCACAGCTGCAAATCTCTCACCGTGGCAGGAAAGGAACGGACACCAAAACATGCAGGAAAAGGTGGACAATCCACTCAAGCCTCAGTTTTTGAGTGGGCCCCCCATGAAAACCCCCATGTAGCAGGAGGAAAGCTCAATAAAAGCAGGGGAAAGCATTGAATTGTGCCTGCTGCTCAAGGAGAAGCTGTTGCTAGACAGAAGTAAAAGCTGTCGCCATTGGCTCCCATTGGCTCAGCCCCACTCCAGTGACGGCCTTATCGGTTACCTGCACCCGCAGCTGCCTGGAAAAAACTCATTTGACAATGTTTTCCCTCTGATAAAAAAGCCCAGTGCTGGATTCATGGGTTTGGGTTAATCATTGTTCAGGGGTTGTTGAGATAACAGCCGAGTTTTCTGCAGATTCTTCAATTGTCACAAATTTTAGCGTAAATGGTGAGCCAGCCCAGCTCTCCCTCTCCCACCTAAAGATGCTCAGCCTCCCAACACCAGCTCCAGCAGGCTGCCCATGAGATGAGCCCGAGCATGTGTGATGAGCTGGAGTTTGCTCAGCCATGGCAACTCTGAGCTGGCAGGAGGTGAATATTCACAAACACCTGTGAAAATCCCCATTAGCTCTGAGAGGCTGGAAATGGGGCAAATGTGCCACTTAGATTATTCAGAGCAAACATTGTTGGCAGGGAGCAGATTGCCAGCACCTCTAATCATCCATGTGAGGTCTGCTCAGCAGCAGCCTTATTTTGGGGGGCTGCAGTACACAGTGCTGGGGTTTTCCAAGCCCTTCAAATCTGATGGAAAGAGGGATAAACCCTCAAATTTGTTTCTCACCTTCCCCAAGAGGTGGAGATCATGGCATAGAAGCAAAGCTTGCAGGGCATGACAGCACCAAAGGGCAGCTGTCCCCAAATTTGCCTCCAAAGCAGGGAGGATATTTCAGCAGGAGGGTTAAATCAGTGGGTGGTCAAGATTTCAGAAATGGTTTTTTTCCCTTAATTATGCCTTAAGGTGATGGCAAAGCAGGCTGAGTCACAGGCTGATAAAGCCTTTTCCAGGTTCACCCCAACACACCTGTGTCTCACACTGACCATCACAGAGCCTAGTGCAAGGCAGTGAGACAGGGGAGCTGGAGGGGCAACAGGCTGGGGCTCAGGTGGACAAATAATTTGGGAGCCATGGAGTGTCCCATATAAGCTCTCCACAAACTCATGTACACCCCAAAGGGATGTGCTTACACGGGCCAGGTTATATGGCCATGAGTAAAGCTCTGCTCTGTCCTTCCTCCAGGTCTGCTTTCCCAGGAGCAAGGACAGCACTGCTGCATCACTTTTGGAATGCCACCATCTACTGACAGTGGGATGCAGAGCTTTCACCTTTACCACAGCTTGGCCTCCCTCCTGCTGTCCTGGGGGAGGTGGAGATGGCAGAGAGGAGGAAACAGACCTGTACCAGCTGTGCTCCTCTGTGTGCCCTGTGGGGTTCAGGCCCTGCTGACATTGCACAGCTCAGCTGAGCTGCACCCTGAGCTGGCACAGGGGGTGCTGCTGGCCCCGTTTTACACCCTGCTGCATCAGGAACACACCTGGGACAAAGTGGAACAAGCAGGATTTAAAGGCCTACCACGGGGCCACGTTTCCTTTCCTGTCCAGACCACGAGCTCATGGCAGAGCCCAGGTTATTATTTCTGATGAAGGATGGCTGTGTTTGGGCCACTGTGAGGACAATGATTTTTAGACATGTCTGACACATTTCAAATCATTTCTGAGCTGTTCCTGGCTTCCTCTGCCAGGCAGGGAGGAGTTAAGATGGGAAGTGCAAGATGTGTCTGGTAATGGCACTGATGTGTGCGTCAGGTGTGCCTGCGTCACCCGGCTGCCTTGGCCGCTTCCCAAGGCTGGGGCTCAGCTCTCCTTACCTTCCACTGCCTGCTGGGAAAAGCCTGGGATGGTCTAGCCTGGCTGATGGGGTCATGGACTCCCTGCCAGTGCTGGCTGTTGTACCCACTGTGCTGCAGCAGGGTCCCCCAAGGCCCCAGGGTGCTGGCAGCCCTCCAGCCTGCTCGGCCACCTCCCTCTCACAGCCCAGGCAGTGGGACTGTGCTCAGGGGATGCCCCCAAGGGCTGCCCTTAAGGCACATGGTGAAAAAATATCAATTTTCTACAACCATGGCTGTTCAGTTCCCTGGTGAACCAGGTAACTCCCTGTGTCTAGCCCCAAATCCCTCCCTGGTGCTCACACACCCAGCTGGGGCACATTTCTGCAGCCACAGATCATCTGCATGTCACCTACAGGCAGAGTGACTGCAGATGAGCAGCACCCTGTCCCCACACTGTGACAGCAGCCTATGTCACAGCTCACAACATTCCCACAGTGATCTTGCTCCCAGACCCTAGCTGAGCCCATCCCTGCTCCTCCTGCCACACAGGGGTGTCCCCAGAGCAGTGGGGACAAGCCTGTACCCCAAAGAACAACCCACTCCAGCCTCTCAAAGCACCTCTTCCAGTTGCAGGTGGGTTTGAAGCCCTAGAGCATGGGATGGTACTTGGGCACCTGTTTGCCAGCCTCATCCCTGCCCTCTCACTCCTGGAGAACTGCCAGATCAAATCATGCAGAATACACACAAGGGGTTTAGCCAGAAGAGTTTTTAATTCAGAATTGGACAATCATGTGAATAATTTATTTAAAGTGAAGTGCATTCTATGCTCTTGTCCAGGCTGGACATTGATTAGACCCAGACTTTCCTCTTGAACTTCATTGTGCAGGTGAATCCCTGTAAATCTGTGGGGCCTGATGGGATTCATCCAAGAGTCCTCAAAGAGCTGCTGATGCCATTACAGAGCTGCTCAACTATTTTTAAGCAGTCTTAGGAATCCACAGAGGTCCCAGCTGACTGAAAGGTGCCAAATGTTGCCCCAGTTTTGAAGGGCAAGAAGGACACTGGAAACTACAGCCTGCCAGTCTCACTTTGCTGACAGGTAAAATTATGGGGAAGTATTTTCTGGGAGGTATTGAAAACCACCTGGAGCACAATGCAGCCATTGCTCACATCCAGCATGGCTTCACCAGGGCAAAGTCCTACTCATTGAACCTGATTTCCTTGTACAGCAGGGCTCCCACCTAGCTGATCAAGGGGCACCAGGTGATGAAATCTTTTTGGACTTCAGCAAAGCTTTTGATACCGTATCACAGTACACTTCTGGAGAAAATATTCAGCACACAGCTGGAGCTGAGCACTGAACAGGATCCCCAGGGAAGTGCTCACAGCACTAAGCACATCTGAGTTCAAGGAGTGTTTGGATAAAGCTCTCAGGCACATGATGGGATTCTTTGGGTGTCCTGTGCAGGGCCAGGTGTTGGACTCAGTGATCCTGATGGATCCCTTCCAACTCAGCACATTCTATGATTCTGTCCAAGAAAATGAGCAGCAAACTGTCTGTTTACTGGCACAGATGGTTCTCAGCCTTTGGATATCAGCAAAACACCTCAGTCCCTGCACAGGAGAACTTGCCCCTTGCTGTCTGGGAGGAGGAGAACCCCACAGAAGGCATGGAGGGTGTTGGCAGCCCCCATTACACACCCACAGAGGCTCCTCCAGGCTGACACAGGACCCTGCTCATCCCCAAGTGACAGATGAACACAGCACAGTCTGTGTGACAGCTCAAGGCTGCAGACAGCATTTTTGGGAGACTGCTTGTGTCCAGGTGTCACCATGTCTCCATCCCCGAGCAGAGCAGTGCTGGGCACAAGCCCCAGGGGAGGAGATCAGCAGACACCTCCACCTTAAACAGCTGAAGGCACCAGGATGGCCCAAAACACACAGAGGACACTGTCCCCGTCACAGGCTGCTTGCCATCAGCTCTGTGGGCCAGTACTGGTCATCCAGGTACTGGCTGCTGTCTGCAGCAGGGTCTGTGACAGGGCTGGGGGGCCGGGGGGGCAGGCTGTGGGCCAGCTGCTTCTCCCACTGCACCTCCACCAGTCTGTACAGCTCCATGGCTGTCTGGGCGTCCTCCACCGACGAGTGTCCTTTGCAGCCCTCCTGGGAAAAGGGGAAAAAAGGAGAAAAGGGAAAAAAGCCTCATTAGATAAAAGAGGCAGCAAAAATCTCACAGGTCATGCTGTCTGCTTGCTTGGAAGGAAACAAGTGCTGTGGGTTTTGGAGACAGCAAAGGTTTGATGCAGCCAAGGCCATACAGGTATCTCTTCCACACTTTTTGGAGGGCACAGATCCTGTCCCCATTTTACTGAGATAATTAATGGTCAGCTTGGGAGGTCCTTGGCTCTCCCACCTTATTTATAGTCAGGAGCACAGGGTGAACAAGGTTCATCTCCACCTCACAGAGAATATACAGTCGGACGACCAAGCTGACCACAGAGGTCCATAGCTAACCCAAGGTTGCTTCCCATCTCAGGGTTGCTGGTGCTCACCTGGATCTTTTTATGGAGCAGGTGCCTGGCCAAGTTCTTGAGGGAGACATTGGCTCTGATGGGCAGCCCTGCCCTCTTCTTCAGCGCAGGGCTCTGGCTGGTGTCTCGAGTCCTGTCTTTCGGGTGGAAGTACTTCAGGGCTTGGAAGTCATTGTGGATGGCGTGTCCTACCACAATCTTGTCTTTCAAGATCTTCAGGATCTGGAAGAGTCACAGAGGGTTAGACTGACACTGCAGTGAAAGAAATACCAAGCATAAAATAAGCCATTTTGTATTAAATTCAGCTCCTTGGCTTTACTTTTTATGTTCCCAGAAGGAATAACAAGCAAGCAAACCAATCCACTGCACAGCTTGAGGCTCCCATTCCTGTGCTGTGCCTCACAGCAGCCTAGCACAGGCCACCAAGAATCCCAATTTGTGCCTGACAGATAACACAGAGACTTTTTGACTTTTTTAAAAATTTCTTTTTCCCTGACCTCAGCCTGGGCAGCCTTGAAGGGAATTGCATTCTTCATGTGCTGCTTGGTGATGCCACTCCAGCGTGTCCGGTAGTCCACAATGGGGAGCTCGGGCCGGACGTACTTGTCATAGATGACATCCCCGTCGTAGTTCACCACGGAGCAGCGTGCCAGCTCGCTCAGCTTGCCCTGAGGGCCCGTGCCCACCATCTCACAGTCGATGGCCACGTACTTGCCTGGGCGCAGCACCAGGGAGGACGTCCTCACCCTCCCGGAGCTGCCGTTCCCCTGGGACAGCAGCACGGAGTGGTGCCTGGCTATGTTGTCCGGAGAGGCAGATAGAGACAGCGATGAGGACACGGTCTGCTTGGCCTTGGGGACATTGTCACAGCTCTCGGTGAGTTCAGTGTGTGCCTCCAGCCCCGCCTCGGGGCTCTGACTGCCCGGGTGCCTGTGGGGGCTCAGCAGCCCCTTCCGCTCCAGCACGGCCCGGCGCGCCATGAACCGCTGGTGCTTTCGGCTCCTCTTCTTGCTGCGAGCCTGCGGCGAGCCGGGACCCTTCGGGGCCTGGGCGCAGCCCCCATGGGCGCCCTGCAGGGTGGGCACGGAGACCTTCGGGGCGGGCAGCAGCGGGGTCATCTGTCCTTTGCCTGGTGGCATTCCTGCGGGAGGGTGCACAGGGGGCCGTGAGTGCCATGCAGACCCCAGTTTCTCCTGTCAGAAAAGGACGCACAGACCCCAGGGCAAACCCACCCCGCTGTGGGGTGGCACAGGCAGGAGAAACGGGGCAGGGCAAGGGGGGGAAGGGACACGGACACGCTGTCGCACCCTGTGACACACCACGCCTTTGCCCCCTCATTCTCGGTCCCACCCCGCCCCATTCCCGGCCCCAGGGCCCTGCCCACCCCCTCGCCGCTCCGCAGCCCCCTGCCCACCGCACTGTCCCCTCCGTCCCCCCGTTCCGTACTCCCTAAGGCCCTGTCTGCCCATTACCCGGGCCCTCTCCACCCCACTCCAGGCCTCAGCTGCCTGCCCGCCCCGTTACCCATCCGCCGGCCCCCGCCGGCTCCCCCGGTGTCCCCTGTACCCCCGGTGTCCCCCCCGGTGCCCCCGGTGTCCCCCCGGTGTCCCCGGTGCTGACCGCTCCCGGTGCCGCTCACACGTGTCCGGCCCGGAAGCCGCCCCGCGCACATGCCCGGGCAAGTCCCGTAGTGGACACGCCCCCCTGCTTTCCCATTGGCTGCGTGGGCGCCTAATTTGCATATTGAGGCGGGGCTTCTGCCGCCTCCGAGGGCGGGGTCGTCGCGGTTTTGGGATTTTTGGGGTTTTTTGGGGAGTCCCGGAGATCTCTACCCGGAGCTCCCAGCCCAGACTGGGTGATGCTCAGGCCTTCAAGCCTGTGTCCCCTCTGCCCCCGGTGGAAGGGACCCTCCGTGGGGCTGGGTTTGGGGTGGGATGCACGCTGCGGTTCCTAGGAGTAAGCTAGTGATGAAGATTAGATTTGCCTGGGGGTTCGTTAGCAGGGGAAGGAGTTGAACCATCATTTTCGGGGTATGGGGCCGATAGCTTATTTAGCTGACCCTACTAGAAAGTAATATAAAGGAAGTATGGAGGGTTTTGATTCCTCTACTGTAGGTTTGATTCCTGCTTTTCTAAGTATTAGGAAATGAGAGGGCCAGTATACCTCCATGTTCATTTTATCACAGTGACCCTTAGTGTTCAGGCACATTTACAGTAGGGCCTTAGGTAAGGAGGTAGGCCCGCGTAGCAAACTGGCATGCTGGTATGTCAGAGGCACAGGGCCAGGGTGAGTGGCAGGAAGTTTTTTCATAGCCGGTGTATCAACTGGTCGTATTGGAATCGTGGCTAAGAGGCGTGAACTCATAGGAATCCTGCTGATAAGAGCAGGACTTTTGTGGCTAGTGCGACAGGGAATAGTTCTTGAAGGAGGTTGAAGAGGCTTGGGTTGAAGCCAAGTCTGTGCAGCCCCGCACGGACACATGGCCGTGCTTTTCCTGGGTGTCCCCTGTGTCTCTTCGTCCTGCAAGTGGGCTGGAGCACGGCAGCTTGGGGTGTGCATCCTCCAGGCTCTCCCAGGATGCTCCCTGGAGTTGTGGGGGGCAGCTCCAGCTGGGGCATGGTGGAAGGGGGGGTTTCAGACCGGCCTCTCGTTGCTTCACTCTCAAAGCTCACAAAAGCAATGTCCAAGGTGGTCAGAAGAGGAGCAGGGCTGCAGGCAGCCCCAGCCAGAGGCTTGCCCCCGTGCCTTCAGCATCGCTGCAGAGGCCGTGTGCCCTAGGGCAGACTGTGACTTGTTGTGGTGGGATGAGCCATACAACAACAAAATCACTAGTCTTCCACAGGGAACCAGGCACCGTGTCCATCCTCATCCCTCTGGGCCTTGCTGGGAGGGTGCCCTCTCCCTGCTACTGATGGGGCTCACAGGGATGCAGGACAAGTGGACAAGTGTTTCACACTCCACTGTTCTCCCTTTCCACCACCCATTAGCTTCTCTAGCCTGGTAAGAAAGGAAAGTTTTAGATTGCCCCTGACTTTTTGGTTTTGGGTTTTTTTGGTGGTTTTTTTTTGTTTGTTTGTTTTGTTTTGTTTTGTTTTTCTTTTGGTCAGTAAACCTATTCCTTAAATTAGTTGCTCCATGTTTTGCATTTCTTGCATCCATGCCTGCTGTTCAGCTAATTAATCTCCCTTTAATGAGAGTCATTCAAGTGTCTCACAATATCTTGCTAGGGAATCCTGTCAGGTCTCTATGTAGAAATTGATACTCTTTTCTGGTGTTTTTGGTGAAACTGTGCATTACAGCTTTTGGAGATGGTTCATTTCATATTCCTGGGCCTCTCCACTGTGTTTTCCTCCCTGTAAATGAGGTGTGAGCTCACTATCACCACACGAGTGGGAGCAAACTCAAGCCTTGCTGTGAGGGACATGGGCTTGCATTTGTCCTCCAGCTCAGGGTGGATAAGGAAGTGGTGTCACTGCCTGCTCTTCTCCCTCACACCCTGCATTATATGATGAAAGACTCAAGTGCCTGGCTGAGAGCTTCTCCCTGGACACATTGGTGTTCCACTCGTGGGTCTAATCACTCTTGGCTTGTCCACAACAAACCCCTCCATGTTCCTTCTGTCCTTCCCAGGATGTATAGTTTGCATTCTCTTTGAGAGTGCAAAGTTTTTTGCTGTACCCTCATGGCAACAAAGAAACCTCAACAGAAGAAATTATGGCATGTGGGGAGGAAGGGAAAAGCTTTTCCCTGTTTTCCAGAGTGACCAGGCTTGGGAAACCAGATAATCCAGAATGCAAGGGAACCCTGCTATCATTTTTTCTCTCTACCCCATATACAAAGATGGAAATGAAAAAAAGTCAAAATATCTTTGAAATGTGAGTTAAAATAACTTTGAAAATGTGCTCTGGCCTCCTACAGTCCCACTGACCCCCGGATACTCAGTAGATGGTTCCCCCAGAGTAGGTATTTCTCCCTTTGGTAAAAGCCTTATGTTGAACAGGGATGCTACTCACCTCCCCAAGGTCCTGGGGCCATGCTGGGGGTGGAGGGTTGGGCACCAGATGGTAGAAATCACATTTCAGATGTGGCAGATGAGCTGAGATGAAGGCAGAGCGCGCCAGAGCCCGGGAGAGGTTTCTGCGGTGTTTGCACAATTTGAAATAATAACGAAATCTGTAAAACTCTGGGTAGAGCACGACTAGAATAACAGGCTAAATTTGTCAGATGAATAATTTACTAGAAGTGATTGGCCGTGCTCCAAGTGAGATGAGCACCAGGCTGGTTCCAGGCTGAGCAGCCTGGGTGTCTCTGTCCTCAGCTGGGAGCTGGTCCCTCTCCTGCTGCCTGGCCATTGCTCTGCCATCAAAGCTGGTCTCTAGACAGGACGCCTTTCCCCAGCTCATCACTGCCCAGGGCTGCAGGGATTCCTGCAGAGCTCCTGGTGCCCTCCAGAAGCTGCCTGCTCTTTATTTTCAAGGTGCTGCTTTGCAGAGTAGAGGTGGGTGTCTGTCTCTGGCTCCAGGCTCGTGGACTCACCCATCCTCTGCCTCTCTCCCTCCTCCAGCCACTTCTCTGTCCTCAGCCGTGGTGCAGAGCGGATGGAAGAACAGACACATCTTGACATTTGGGGTGGGAAGGGAGATGAAATCCCAGTGCTGAGAGGAGATGGTGACTGCAGCCTCAGCAAGCAATTAACGTGATCATGTTTATGAATGCGGATCAGTAATTCCAGGTAAACTCCCCAAGAGCGGTGCTGCAGGCGAACAAAGCCTCCTGCCTACCCAGGAGCCTGCCAGCAGGCCCTGCCAGTGCCAGCACATTCCTGCTGTGACTCTAAACTGCTTCATTTCCTCGTGCCAGCCTCAACATGCATCGTTTTGTCTCCTATTACCTCGATGCCAGAGCTCCTCTTTGTGGTGTTGGTTGCACCACATCTTCCTGGACCTCTCTGTTCCCTCCCTGCCAAGGGGTATGATGGGTGGGAATGGGATAGGTTAACTCAGAGAAGGCAGCAAGGACCCAGCTTTGCCTCCAGGGGTGATGAGGGATCACTTCATCATCCTGGGCCCTGAAGGCTGCCTGGTGCCTCCCACCTGTGGCTGGGGAACCTCACCAGGGCTCCCTGAGCTGCTCACATCACTCTGAGTAGGCTTGTGGCAGGGTTGGTTTGTGCCCACCAGCATCCAGAAGATCAAACAGAAGCTGGGAAGCTCAGAAATAGGTTGGGTAGTGACCAATTGCTGGACCTGATTTCCATTAGAGGAAGAAAGTCTCATCATGATGGAGCACCTGGAAATACCAGCACCATCCTTTGGTGCACGGGACCAGCTGGGACAGCCAGTGCTGTGTGGCTGAGGTGTCACCAGCACAAGGATGTCAGGACAGACAGGTACCATGTCACCCCCTGGCCTTTCCTGTGCTGGGACTTGGAGCACTGCAGCCCTCCTGGTCCACAGCAGAGGCCCAGCACAGGGATTCCTGCAGGACCCCTCCACTGCCATGCTGAGATCCCCATCCTGAGCCCACCTCTGCAGAACCTCCAGGAACTTAGCCAGGAGACTCCCTCCTGGCTGAGGATGGAGTGTGTGTGAGAGCAGCTGCTTAGCCATGAAAACTATTCAGTGCTGGAAAGTTGTGCTTGGAAGGCAGGAAACCTTTCCCTCAGAGCACCAAGAGCCTCCCTATTCCTCTGACACTCCTCCAGCACTCCATGGGAATTGCCTGCATCCCTCCAGCACGGACAGATCTCCTCTTCAGTCATGCCCTGGGGGGTGTCAGTGCTCCAGGGATGCTGCTGGGGATAAGGAGGGATGGATGCTCCCAGAGCAGGAGGTGAGGGAGGCTGATGCTGCCATCCATCTCCCTTCTCACTCCCCATTTTCTGGCTGGCCCCCAGGAGAGCAGTGAGCAATTATGGTCCACGCGGAAGCTTCATTATTGCCCTGTCGTGGCCTCGTTTGATGAGATGTTTTATTGCCAAACTTATTAAAAGTGAAACGTGCGGTTTCTGCGCAGCAATTTCCTGGCTGCAGCGATAAGCTGGGCTCTGCCTGCTGTGTAATAAACAGTTATTTTTATGTACAGCTCTGGCTGGGGTGACAAGGAAGGGAGAGGGCCTGGCTCGTGTTAATTGCGATGGTTAATGGGATCTGTGCGTGTGAGGAGGTGTGTGCCCTTCCCCTGCCACGTTCTGTGACAGAGGTGCTCTGGGTGTTGGCAGTGGGGACTGGGCAGGGTCTCCTCCGCACAGTGCATGGGAACAAGAAGGATTAGTCTGAAAGCTCCTCACCTGCCTCCTCTCAGTCCTTCTCCACAGTCTGAGCAAATGAGGGACCTGTTGTGCACCCCTGTGGTGTGAGACTCCGTCCCCTGCAAGGGCTGCCCCTCAGCTCCATTGATTGCACCCCTGCAGGAGGCTGGAGGGAGCTTCAAAACCTGGGAGCCTCACTTCATCTTCCCCAGATCCTGACCAAGAACCTCTCTGTCTGCAGCAGCATTTGCAGGAGATGCTGGTGGCCAAAGCATCACCATGGAGTGTCCACCATGTCACCTCCCTCTGTCCCTCCTTGGCAGCAGACAGGTGCTGGAGAGGAGACAGTAAATTCAACAGGCACACTAATGCCACAGAAAACATGTGTCACTGCTGAGCTTGGAGCAGCAAAACTCTGATAAATATCAGCAAAGCTGATAAATATAGTTCTATTTTGTCAGAAACAAAGTGTCCTCATTAGGTGTGCGATCTGTTTTTTGGTTTAATTACATCTTTTAAATACATTTTGAAAGGAAGCAGCTTTTTAAAATGCAAGGTGTCAGAACTGCATTTACAAAAATCCTGATTGCCATTTTTTTATTTTCCAGACCTGGCCAAAGCTATTAGTTCAACTCAAGCTGAAAGTGCATAACTTTCCCCAATAAACAATTTGTCAGAAAAATTCCTCCTGGCTCTGGGAGATCTGGTTGTTATTTGTCAGCAGTCAAAACCCTGTTGGGTATTTCCCATCTGACTTCTTTTCTTAACAGCATCTTTATTGGTCTGGGAATTAACAGCTGAAGATGTGATACTTGCTATTCATTGCAGTCATCCCAAATGCCACTCATCTCATCAGGCCATGGCTCCACAAAGCAAAAACCCCTCTCCTTTTCTTCAGTGCACCATTTTTGGGTAACTGTGGGGCTTTTCATCCCAGATTTCCTCCCTTCATCCTCCTGATCCTGCAGTGTGCAATGGTATCCCCAGGCTTGGGCTCACATCCCTATCTCCCGCATCCATCCCCATCCTTGCTGCCCATCTCAGCCTCTTGCTGGGCAAACTCCCTCCACTGCCAGCTCAGCCCCTCATTAATTTGTATTGCAGCGTGTGTTGGGGGCTGACGTGTAATTAGAGCTCCTGAAGCCTGTCTCATGCTGTAATTGCCATGACAGGGGCCACAGCATATCCGCTTGTTAATTAGTAAACCACAATATCCCGGGGGCTCGTTGAGAGCCGCCTTAATTGTATTTCAGCTGGAACAGAGGGATAATTACCCTTTGCTAGCACTGCCACTTTTAAATTCTTAAAAAAAAAAAAGAAAGAAAAGAAAGGAAAACCCAAATCGAGCTCCTCTGCTGCTTCCCCCCTTGGCTGCCCAGGGACCTGGTTTCATCCCCAGGCTGAAGGGGAAGGGCTGTGGAGCTCAGCAGTGTGGGAACGGGATGCCAAGAGATTTCCTCGGGGCCACACTCAAACTGGTGGTGACTGAGCTGCCCCTGCTCCGAGGGTGTTTCTGTGTCCCTGCACATGGGACTCTGCTGGGAACCCCGTTTGTGGATGCAGGCTGGATTGCTGGGCGTCCTGTTTGATGGGAACCCCATCCTGGACAGTGAGCAATAATGCCCTGGCATCACCACCAGGCACCTCCACTGGCTTGGAGGAGCAGGAGTGAGCCAAGGTCTCCCTCCTAACCTCCCATCAGACAGAGTAATTCCCCTTGGAATGGGAGTGGGAGCTGCTGCAGGGGAGCCTGTGGACCTTGCAGGGCTCAGTGCAACCAGTGTACGTTGCTGCCAAGGGTGTGCTTGTATTCCACACCCCCAACACTCTCAGGGTAACAGCAGGACCTCAGCGTGCTCAGTGCTGGAAATCTCTCCTCCTACAAACCCTGCAGCAGTGTGGGATCAGCCTGCTTGGCATTAATGGACCCCAGAGGTGAATAATCTCTGTTGTTGATTCCTTTCTTGTCAAATTTCACCTCACTGGGCAACTGGGAGGCTTCTGGGACCTGGTTAAAGCTTTTTCTTCCCCAGGAGGGATGTCCTGTGAGGTGCGTGTGTGTGTGTGTCTCTTGTAGCAGTCATGGGGGTACCATGGAGCTCTGGTGAGAGATGGAGGAGCTGAGGTGCAGCCTCACCCTTGTGTGAGCACCACAGGCTCCAGAGCACCTCTTCAGAGGAGCTGGTCAGAGAGCTTTGGGGGAGGTTAACCTGGGCAGAGAACCTGACCTGTGACATCCAGCCCTTTTCCTGTGCTCCTCCCTGAACCAACGCAAAGAGCTCAGCCACCATCAGCCCTGCTGGTGTTTCCTGCTGTTCAAAGGATCGTATCACGGACAACTGGCCTTTGGTTTGTGAATTGGCATAAATAACAGTCCTGGCTCTCTCCTGGGAAGCTACATGGAGGTCAGCCTTGAAGAAAAGATCAGTACAGCGGCTCCTAGCATTAGTAAAAAGACATAACCGAGGCAAAGAGCCTTGAACATAATTACAGCCTAAGAGCTGTGATGGGAACTCAATGACCTGGAGCCATCTCCTGGATTTGAGTGCAATCAACAGATTGACACTGCTGGGTCCTGAAGGCTGGTTTTTGGAAGCCATGCAGCAGGGTTGAATGCCAGAGCAGGCAGCGAAGCAGCACAGGTGCCCGTTCCAAAGAGCAGAGCTAGAAAAGGGTCTCAAATGCCATGGAAGAACCAGATGGAGGCAGCCACTGGAACACTCCGCACGTAATTGAGGGCACCTTCAAGGGTGAGCACAGGGTGGCTGCCCACCTCCAGGATGCTCTCTGCTGCTGCCATGCGAGTGACTGTCATTAGAGCTGGGCATGGAGTTTATAGTTGAGTAACCACAACAACTTTGCACAAATTAAACAACATACTGTGGGTTAATTAGATTTCTTACCGCTGCCTCCATT